TTTTTTTTTTTTGTTGTTTTTGGACGTGACTGTAAAACCCACCATCGCAGTATTCATTCTGAATAATCATGTGATCATCCTCGGCCCATGCTGAATAATAGCGAACGACGTGTGGGTGATGCCCAAGAACAGCATGTGCATACACTTCCTTTAGAGCCAGCTGCCTGAGAGAGGAACACACAGTCATGATCCAAAAAATAATTAAATAAATAAATAAAGTGTGGACTGATCGKTTTCCGCTGGAGATCGTCACAGCTCTGACTCACTCATTGGCAGAGCCTGCCAGGGGTCGTCGGGAGCGCTTTATGGCGTACAGGCAACCGTCCAGCCGATTCACACACTTATAGACCGCCCCGAACTCGCCCACGCCGATGCACTCCACCTCCAGGAACTCGCTCTCGTAGCGCGACAGCATGAAGGCTTGGACAGCTCGCCTCTGCCAGATGAACAGACGCAGGGCAACGGTGAAAACTAAAAATACTTCTCAAGGGAGGGGCACACGTCACAGGAATACATCGAGAAAACCCGGGGTTTCTTTGATGCCTGACCAAATATGGTGATGCTTCCTCAAAAAAAAAAAAAAAACATTTGACAGCAGCTGTTTTTTTGTATGGTTGGAGATTCCTCAGAGAAATCCCAGCAGTTAAAGTGACAGCATGTAATTTTGAACAAAACAAGAGGAGGAGGCTGATGAAGATGACAAAGCCTGATGATGAAATCCGAGCATGACACGCATCACTACCACGGAGAAACTGTTGTACCTTTGGTGGGAGAAAGGCTTCGTCATCCTCTTCAGAAGACGTGAGGCTGTGTTTAAGTCTGAAAGAAAAAAAAAGCCTTGATATTTTATATAAAACTGCAGAAACCTAAAATATAAGCAGCAACACAATCAGTGACAAACCAAGAAATAATATTTCACCACAATCTTTGTGTTACCTGGGCATATGCAGAGTTGTAAAGTAACTAAGTACAAATACTTTGTTACTGTTTTAAGTAGAATTTTTGGGTATCTGTACTTTACTTGAGTAATTATTTTTCAGACTACTTTTTACTTTTACTTCTTACATTTTCACACAATAATCTGTAATTTCTACTCCTTACATTTTTAAAAAAGGCAAGAAAGTCATTATTTTTATTTCATTTTTGCTTGTTTTCATTCCAGCTTGTTGTTACAAGTAATAAATTCTATTCATTTTACATTGTGCCTCCTAGATAATGAATTTAATTGTGGGTGAATGAGAAGTATAAATATATAAAGTTCTGATACTGTAGTAGTTTGTACACAAACAAATCATCTCCAGCAGGACATAATCATTAAACTAAAAGGACTGTACTTAAGAAGTATTTGTATTTCATGAACTATATCACTGCATTTGGCTGCAGTCCTCAGATAAATATTCATTTTGGGGAAAAGTTTTGGGCACCCTTGATGTAAACTGAAACAGCTGGACTAGTGCATCCTAAATTTAACATAAATTACTTATTTTAATACAATATAGTCATTTATGCATTTTTGGGAGGTCACCTTGTAATAATTTTTTAATTTTACTTTTAATACTTAAGTACAAAGTACAAAAAATATCACATACTTTAAGACTTTTACTCAAATAATATTCCTAAAGGAAACTTTAACTTTTACCAAAGTGATTCTTTGGTAAGATACTTGTACTTTTACTCAAGTATCACTTTGTGGTACAAACACTGGGCAGGTGATGATGACATGGATCAATGTTTTTGTTTTACCTTGATGTAATTAAATCATTTAAGTTAATATTTCAGTGTGGAYTGATGTTACATTCCCAATATATTTTTTTAAAAACATTACCTGAGTCCGTAATCTTCATCGTCGTCACTCCTGCTGTTTTGCCTCCACAGCAGCTCGCTTTTTCTGCGGACCGTGTCCGGAGTGAACGGATTCACGTTGACGAAAGGAGCCTGAATGAAGTTTGCAGCAGCTGAGGCAAAACGCACAGTCCTCTGGTGATGACCTATCTTTACGTTGGAGTAAAGCTGGGACGATTTTGACAACAAACTCTACGAACAGAAAACTCARTTTTTTTAAAGAATCCAAGTGAATTGTAAAGGAGCTCACAAATGATCAGTCACAGTGGATCACCTTGGGTGTGCTGGGCGAATCACACAGCCGCAGCTTCTTCCAGGAAGCATAAGGGATGGGGCTGGTGCACTGCAAAGGCGAAGCGCTGCTCCTGCTGCGGTGGCGCTGCCCTTTGGGGGTCCCGCAGACCAAGCCGGGACGACACGTTCTGGGACTGCAGAGAACGACGTAGTCACCCGAGGTGGTGTCACTGCTGTTTCCGTCCTCTCCACAGCTGGAGAAATCCAGCCGCTGGTTGATCCCATCCATCGCCATCTCCACGCCTGCTGAGGCCTGAACGCTGGGATGGGTTTCCTTCATAATGTTAAGACCTGGCAACACAAACACTTCATGATGAACTTTATTAGATGTGTGTCACATCATCTGGATTTTTGTGTTTGTGAACATCATCTGTAAACTTATTTTGGAGTTCTCTAAGGAGTGGCAGCCATCTTGCATGAGGCTGACTCCAGAGGTTGATCAGCTGTAGATTATTAGTGTTTCATTAAAATACGTCCCCTGGTTCATGAGTTATTTTGCTAACACACATATTTAGACAAAACGTGACCGACTTTTCTTTAAAACTGAATGTTTACTCACGAACGAGTCCCCTTTCGCGCGTCACCACCTCAAACACGTTCGCATCTCGCGCCACGAAGGTTAAAGACTTCCTGTTTAAATCAATTACTCCCCTGGGGTCAGGGCATCCAGCTTCCTGATTGGTTGGCTGGATCTTTGAAGTAACTAATTAGGTAAATAATTTAAAATATGATTTCTGGGGGAAAACAATATAAATTACTCATGTAATGGACATATAATTATTATTTTTTAACTAAATGCTTTTATAAGATTTGTGTTTTTATAAGAGAAATTAGGTCATTTTATGAAATGATGTAGACACGTGGGCGGAAGTCAGCGACGTCATCACAACAGAGAGACGAGGAGGAAAAACAGCCCATCCGTGGATGTGACACGCTCACAGATCCGTGGAAAACACCCCCGCCAGCAGCAGAGGACCATGATCCGGGTCCAGCAGCGTCTTTAACGCGCTTCAGACGAACCGTGCGCGGGGAGCCCTTCTTGCCTTGTTTCCTCCCCTCCACCTGTCCGCCCGTCCGTCCTCCGGCACCGACCCACCATGGTAGAGCAGTCGGATCGAGCCCCGCTGCTGGACTGGGAGGAGATCCCGCCGCCCGACCCGAATCACCAGGCGGCCCAGCCACCACCACCACCACCACCACCACCACCGCCGGAGGAAGGAAGCACCGAGGCGGAGAAAACTTCCCACCCAGCCGGAAGGCGTCTACCGCCGCCGGCCGCCGCCGTCTCCACCGCCGTCACCTACAGCCCGTCTCGGAACGTAACAGCTGTTGTTGTCAGCCGGGACAGAAGCCTTCAGCCCGCCGAGCTAACCGGGTTCGGGTGGGATCGCCCCGAGTTTTTTGGTACGGATCGGAACCTGCCCTACCCCTGCGTCACAACCAGGGATCAGTGGGATGAAAAGGATCAGATTGTGGCTGTGTTTGTCGTGACTTTCGATACGAGATCAGGTAAGAAAAACGGAATCTGTTCATTTTATTTAGCTGAAAATCATCACCATGTCTTATGGGTTCCTCCTCAGTTCATTATGAAATAATTTATTTCCCTTTTAGAGCTGGAAACACCTCTCTGACAGGAGCTTCAGTGTTTTTATTAAGCAAATCATGCCAGACACCTCTCATCTGTGTGGGGCATATAGACATGCGTTAAAATGAATATGGGGATACCCCAGGGTTCTATCTTGGGCCCAGACCTATTCTCCCAATCTTCCACTCTTGAATAATTTTAAAAATCAGCTGAAGTTGTTTTCATTCTAACAAACTGTAGGTTAGATAATTTTCTTTTATGCATTAAAACAAAAGAAAAAGCTATACAATGAAAAACAAAGCGCAAATCATAAATAAAATGAAACGCAGAGAGTTTTTTTTTCATACCATTTGCCCCTTTTCTTCCCCACAAAATAAATTCATGCAATAATAATACACACATTTTACACTCAAGCTCTGGAATAAAACTAAAAGCATCAGACCCTTCCCATCTTGTTAGAACAACATTTGATGGTGATACATGTAGTGTCATRTTTTTTTCAATAAACTGTCTTTTAAGCATTTAAATTGTTCTGAACATTTCAATATCAAGATTATTCCATAAACTTATTTTTTGAATTGAAGTACATTGATCCTTCAAACTAGTTTTATTATCTGATCTCACATTGTTTACATCTATATACTGTTTTTGTTGTATTTTATTTACAATTCTGCAAAACATTGAACCTTATATAGTCATAAAAACAATTCAAATCAATAGTTAAACATTATGACAGTTCCTCGGGTTAATATTTTCTCACAGTAGATGAGTCAGGCCTTTTCTTGACCTTTCACAGCTGTATTAGATTTGAGGAAATGGCCAGGATGAAAGTAGAGGAACTTCATTTTTTTTAAAAAAAACATTGTGTGTGTGTTTGTGTGTGAATCACAGGAAATATAATAGAATGGTGTCTGCCTCATGACATCAACCTCGACGGAGTTGAATTCAAGTCGATGGCCAGCGGCTCCCATCGGATCACCAGTGACTTTATGTAGGTGATCCTCTGACACCGACTCCAAAAAAAAGCTATCCAATTTTATAGATACTGAGCTAAACTTTGGTGTATTTTCAGCATTCACTGCACATCCTAACACATATATGTTGCATGAGATCACACATAACAGCATTACAAGCTTTGACTAAAAACAGCGACAATCTCAGCATTACGATCTTAGTTTAAAATTTGGACAGGAATGTTTGATCTTAAACTTTTGCTGCCTTTCCTGTGGTTAGATATTTCCGTAAAGGCAATTACTTCGGGCTGGCCTGTTTTGCCAACATGCCCGTTGAGAGCGAGCTGGAGCGAGGAGCGAGGATGAAGTCTGTGGGAATTCTGTCTCCGTCCTACACTCTGCTTTATCGCTACATGCACTTCCTGGAGAACCAAGTCAGGTAAGGCCTGCTGGGAAGGGATGTTCTTTTATGTGTGTGTTTTTTTACTGTTGGCATTCCTTATTTATCTCGTCTCAGTTTTTTTTTTTTTTTTTTTTGCATGTGCCAACCTCCGATGCGTGTTTTTTGTCTCTGATGTTCTCATCAATTAAACATGAGCCCTGTATCCCAGTTAGCTGCAGTTTTTGTCACAAGAACCCATTGAGGTGCTGTTTTTCTACGGTGTCTGAACACAAAGCTGGAGAAACTTTGACAGCAGCTTTTCTCCTCTTTTCGAAAACACTGCTCCTCTTATTCACTCCTTTTAAAACGACCCGACTCTCGCTGATTGTGTATAAATATATAAAAGCCACACTTTTAGGATAACAAACTCTGGTGAATCTGCCTAAATCTCAAGAGGGCGGTTGTCCAAGGTTAAAGTTTACGAGCGGCTTTCTGTGCAATAAGCAGCAAACAGAAAGAAAATCAGTATTAATAACACAATACTCCTCAGATTTTATCTTACTAAAATAAAACGATTTATGAATAAACTAACGCTAACAAACTGTGATGCAAAACAACCAATATGACATGTTAAACAAGCCAAACTGGATGGCATAAAGCTCAAATTATGCAAAACGACTTGCATTTTAATTTATCCAGCACCTGCCCATCATGTTGCTTTTCCACAAAGTCTCTTTTAGTTTCGGCAGTTTAGGTGAAACTCATTTAGTCACTGCATGCACAGAATGGGCCTCATGCAAGAACCGTTCGTACGCACAGATTTGTTCTTAAATTGTGCGTACGAGTGATTTAAGAGAATGTGATGCATTCACCAATGTTTTCGTATTCTAAGATTTTTTACAGATACGAACAAAATTCACGAGTGGTCCAGACCTGTCGTATATTTTACGAGCAGTCAGTCTGCTGTTATCCAGATGGGTTTTCTTCATTAAAAACTTTATATTTCATTAGTTTGAAGATATTTTGAGTTGAAAATAAATTACACTCCATAATTATGTTGACAATAGGCTATTTTGCTTGAATTAGAGTTATAATTTTAAATGTAATAWTTTAGACTAAMAATATAAATTGTCCGTYCGTCCGTTTTCTGMCGCTTATCCAGGATCGGGTCCTGGGGGCAGCAGGAGACCCCGCTCTCCCCAGCGACAACTTCCAGCTCGTCCTGGGGGACTCCGAGACGTTCCCAGACCAGAGAGGATACATAATCCYTCCAGCGAGTCCTGGATTTTCTCCAAAGTGCCAGACTTATTTTGAAATCACTTTAAAATGCTTATTTCAGAACCGCAACTGAGACCACCTGCGACCGCGCGCGTGCGTGGGGGTGGGGGGTGGGGTACAGTGCGCAGCGCTGTGTCTTCTGAATAAATGAAAATGATTTAACACAGTTGTTTATACTTTTAGCAGCTCCTTTAATTCCACAGCTGACCTGCTAAAAATGACAGATTTTCTTTTCTGGATCTCTGACAGACGGACTTCAATCTGAACTTGTAAAGTTTTTCTTTTTAGTTTTCACTGTCATTTTCATGAACGAACACTTCCTTGTATCTGAGGCAGGAAACATAGCCTTATATGGTGTTTTTGGGGTGGTAATTATGCTAATCTCCTCGCGTGCACGAGCAGCTGGATACAAACAGGTGGAATTTACGCAGCTCATTTACACACTTTTCCTGAAGATAGAAGAGTTTGTTGAATCTGACGTGACATGTTCGTACGAACCCTTCGTACGAACAAAAGTAAGAGAAATTTAGGAAAAGAATACGAACATGTTCTTGCACGAGGCCCATTGTTTTCACATCAAATAGAAATCAGGTCAGTCATGTCAGATGCAAGATTTGGTGCTTAAAGGTTGACGCGAGCTGTGAGCAGAGCGCTTCTCTACAGAATAATAATTGAGAGAAGTGATAAAAATGCATAAATTGAATAAAAGGCACTCATCATTAAAGCGAGTTTAACCTGCGTCATCAATCATAGCAGACGTGAATGAGTCACACCTGATTGTGTTTTGATCTCCTGATTGGTTTTAGACATCAGCTGCAGAATCCAGGCCAGTATTCTCCTCTAGAGGCCTTTTACGAGGACAAGAAGGCCGTTCTCCCCCCAACGGGCAACGGTTTGGTCACGTCGTGCCCGATGTGGAGCGTTGCTTCTATAAACCGCTGCATGCACCCAGAAATGAAGGTGTGAAAACCACCAGAACACGTGCACTCTCACGTCACCGAACACGTGAGCTTCACACAACCTTCTCCCCCCCGCAGATCACCCACCCGGCYGGCTGCATGTCTCAGTTCATCCAGTTCTTCGGGGAGCAGATCATGGTGCTGTGGAAGTTTGTGCTGCTCCGGAAGCGTCTCCTCATCTTCTCTCCTCCACCTGTGGGTGTGGTCTGCTACAGGGGTGAGCGCAGTCTCATCTTGAAACGTATTCAAATCTGTGAAGATGTTTTKTAAATCGTTTTGCTTCGGCCCATCAGTGTATTGCTGTTGCTCCCTGGCTAACGTTTCCATCCCTGGAATTGGAGTTTCTGTGCCCGAACTACGGCCTTTTTTCTACATCAACATCGCCGACATCACTGCCCTGGAAACGGAGCTGTCATATGTAGCCTGTAAGAGATTTTGCTCCACTGTCTTTGGTTAGCTGGCTTCCCTGGCAGAAATGATTATTTATACATATATCAATGTGTTGTCCGTGTGTTTCAAGGCACCACAGAGAAAATCTTTGAGGACAAGAAGGAGCTGTACGACGTCTACATCGACAACCAGAATGTGAAGACGCACAGAAGCCATCTGCAGCAGCTGCTCAGACTGAACGCAGCAGATAAGGAGAAGTACAGGAAACTGAGTGAACAGAGGTATTTTAATATTTTATCCACCACTTCCTCAAATTCTAATCTAATATTGAACATTTTTTGATTAATACTAGGTATACTAGGCACACTATTTACTATGTATTGTCACGCCCTGGATATGATGTCATAATAAACAAGGAAGTTCCTTGAAAGCAGTTTTACTTTCCTGAGATGTAAAACATTTATATGTTTCTACTGCCAGAGTGAAATTATTACAATCGATCACAAAGTATAAAATATAAAGACTGTATTTAAAACTCAGTAAATCAAACACAAAATATGCAGCACTAGTTTTATTATTTTCGTTCAGCTTGAAAATATTTATAGTTAAGTTACGTGCTTTAACAAAGCCTGTCTGGTGACATAGGATAAAACTAAATTATCTCGTGGCAGAAGAAGTTGGAGTTACATTACGTTCAGAAAGAGTAAAAAAACAATGTAAATTTAAGAACTGTAAAATAAAAACGTTGTGCTAATATATATATA